CAGTTTTTTCCCTGCCTGCCTGCTTTTCGTTGTCCGTGGTCGTCGTGTTCGATTCAGGCGGCCCTGCATTTTTAACGCATATTTTGTAATTGTTGCCGCCGCTGTCTGTGAATGTCCATGTTGTCCCAGGTTGACCTTTTTGGCGGATCCATTTGCATACGCACTGGAATAGGGATCATGGGATAGTAATGGTAACGACCGAACCCGTAGACCAAATCAAGTTCGTTGGACAGCGCAGTTCATTGGCCTAGGCCTCGCACATTGCAAAGGATTGCCGCTTTGCTGTCTAATTACAAAATGAGCTTTTCTACGCCTTTTCTGCCTTTCAGCCTCTTCGGCGGCTCTTCTTCTTCTGCGTTGGCTTCCCTCAGTGCTCATAATTACCAGCAAATGAATGTTATAACCATAAAAATTAACTTTGCCCCGCCGCTCGAGTTATGCTTCAGTTAAATTCCTTTTTGTCTCTAAGCGAAGGCCACGGAGAAGAAGTTAGAGCGATGATAGAATGCAAGATACCCAAGGCATTAAGCGGGAAATAAATGTTTTTTCCTTGAGGTGGGTTCATTACATACTAATTTGAACAGAGAAAAATGTTGTAATCCACAAGGGTGAAGTAAATGGAAGGAAATTAGATTTATATTATTTCATTTTAAAATTCTAAAGATAAAATAAATATTTTTAATATTTGTTCCCTAAATGTATTTTTATTTATGTTAATTTCAAAAATGTGTATTGCTTAGATAATTCAAAAATAATTTTATTGTCCGTTTAAATTGCAGGTTAAATGGGGTTTTTCTTTCGTATGTTAATATTTATTCTTTTCAAGAACATTCTAGTTTTTCCGAGTTCCCAGTTCCCATTCTCCATTACACCCTCGTCTAAGCTTGACTACTAAAAAAACTTCTTCATCATGCTGCGGCCTTTGTGTCTTTTGGCCAGCTCTGCTTGGCTGGCGGTTCTCAGTTCTAATTATTTACACGCTCTGCGCATGCATATCAGTTACCAGTTTCTCGTTACCAGCTTTAGTTTTTACCCAAAACCAACTGGCGCGGTGCCCTCGAGGCAAGTGTTTGAAATGTTGTACAGTTTAGTGGCGTCAAACGCTTCGCTGGAGATGCTTGAAGGCAGAGGAGGATGAGGGGTGATGGTGGGAAGGGGGAGGGGCCAGGGCGTAGTTAGTGCATTAGTTACATAATTCGTTTACCGTTTCTTTAGCCGTTTGATTAATTGGTAAGGAGCCAAGAATGCTGCCCGCTGTTGTGCTGCTGTCTCTCTCTCACTCTCTGATAATTGTGCAGTCGTCTGTAAATCCATTCGAGTTCGTTGCCTAAGTCTTTTGTTTTCTAACTGTTCTGAGAGCGGTTTTGCACCGAGTCACCCGAGCAATTTGAATGCATTGTATTGGCATTTTAGATTATGCATTTTCTATAGAAAAAAACATTTTCTATGATGAAATTAGTTAAAATTGAACAAGCTATTATTATTCACTTTCCTTATTTTTTTTTTGATAATAATATTTTATTACCCATATATTATCTTATAAATAAAACTACAATATACCTATTCTTTTTATAGCCCTTACCAAAAACACTTCCCACATAAAACTCCGATTTGGCAAGTTCGTTGGCCAAGTCTTTGCTTAGCTTTTGGCCATAAGGAAATGCACCGCGCTTGGCCGGCAATTACATGATCCACATAATCACCGCCTTGCATTCCCGGAGATCCCACAACAAAGTGGCCATTTAAATTCTAATTATGCAGGCACTTCCAACGAAAGTCACGCTACTTTTTCCCACTCTCCTCCGCTTGTTAAAGTCGCTCGTTGGTAGCAGTTGGCCAGTGTATTCCGAACAATAAAATGCTGATTAGGCATTTTTCAACTGGCAAACAAACAGATTCTAACCGAATTTCCATTGGCAGGCAGTGCAGAGTAGAGCTGTGGAAAAACCGGCAGTGTCATGCCTTAAGTTGCTACCAGACAAACACGATCCCGAATCCCGAGTACCGAAACTCGATGCCGATGATGAGGTTGATGATACCCCGAGGAGCAAGTGTTGTATCTATGCCAGCAAAACGGCCAATTTTCCATGGCCATAGCCAAGTGCCAAAAGCAACAACACTTCGGGAGACCCTCATTGTTTGGGCCCCCTGGTTTCCCTGCTTCCCTGGCTTGCTTTCCTCACATCCTTTGTTGGCCACGATTTTCCCAGTGTGTGTGTGTGATTGTGTGTGCGTGCTTCAAAGGAATTTCCATAACCGCTAGCATTCCGTGTGTGCGTGTGTGTGTACTAGAGTTTTCCCCTCTAATGGCCAAAAGACCACAACATATCCAGCTCGTAGATACTTCTTCTCGTATTTTCTTGCCATGCCTTTTGCTTTCCGTACGTAACGAAAATGAGCGCAAACAACAAACAACGAAACAACGACAGGAAAATAGACAACACAGGAAACCAGTTTTTCCTCGGCTCTTTCCTCTTCGTTAACCTGGCCTTAGAACGCAGAAGGTGCGTGCAGGGAAAATCAGTGGAAAATGCTAAGAAAATTCTACTACTTGACCCTCTCAACCCCTTTCGTCCGGTTGACATCAGGGTTTAACTTACGCATTTTTCAATTATCTCATAGACGCCGTGTTGCTGTGTTGCAGATGCAGTGGCAATTGCATTCCTCCTCTTTGGCTATGTAGGTTGGTGTGGCAACCAACGGTACTCCGCCTGGCGGCGATCTTTTCGGCCCCAACCGAACCTAGCCAATTTGCAAAGAGTTGGCTAGCTGGCTAGCTGGCAATCTGGCAAGCAACGCGCTCAACAGGCTCATCACTTAGCCATCTAATGTCTAACTGCGCTGTCAGCCGCCAACTTGTTTACGCTCGTTGCTCTCGGCAGTTGGTCCACTCTAACTGCAGGTGGTGCCATCAACTAGGGCATATATTTCAAAAAATCTGTAGGGCGCACTTAAAATGAGTAATGAAAGGGTGAAAAATATGAAAAAGGTTGGCTGCTGCTGCCTTGTTTTTTAGCCATCGTTATTTATTATTGACTTTTTTGGTTCACCTTTTTTTTTTTAGCTCAATTATGTTATGAAGAAAATTTAGAAAAATAGGTAGGGTACCAAATTAAAATTATCGTCAATGTAAATTGTTATTATTTATTTTTCATGTTTTTTACATTATTAAATTCTTGAAATATTTTTTCCTTTTAATTATTAAGAAAAAAGAGTTTAAGGGTATACAATATCCTACTATTCATTACTTTTAAGTCTTTTTCAGCTATTGCATTTCGTATTTTGCATTCTATTTAAGCCAAATGTCGCCTCGTCCGCGTTGGCGTCAAACTACCGTAGAGGCTTTTTGCTTTTTGGGTCAGCCGCCTCAGCACGCGCTTCGCATAACGTCATCGCTCTAAACTTAACTTATGCAACTTATGCAGGGGCAGCATAAATCATAATTCCCGCGAGAGGGGGGAAAATAGACGCATACGTATGGGCGCCTTGGCCTGGGCAATTACTCCCTGCCGCCCCCCAAAATCATTTTTCTTTACGCTTCCACAAATGAGGTAAAGCCGCTTACAAGGCGGCCTGCAACAATATTTTTAACACTGCGAAAACATAAATAAACAAGCCAGCCAATAACATAAACATTAAACTGCGACTGTGACTGACTCTGCGAATATTGCTGCGTACGTGGCGTCTATGGGCGCAACGTGACTTTGGGACTGGCCAAAACTGAACTCTAAAAAAAAAGTATCTTATATCGTCGAAAAGATCTTGGCAAAAATATAAAACGTGAGCAGTCACTTAAATTGAGCGAAGCGAATTCGCTGCACATTTTGCATTTTGGAGTCAAATACCCTATAAACTTTTTAAGTTATTGTACGTAAAAGACAAGCGAAACGAAAAGCTTAACAAATAACTAATTCAAAAATATTTATAGGGCATTTGGCATTGGTTTTTAAAAATAAAAAAATATATATCATTAGTAATTTATACTTTTAATAAAAAGGTTTAACCTTTAAACTTTATTAGAAAATAAATATTCGTTAGGTATTTTAATTCAATATCTAAAAACCCGATCCTAAAAAAGGATAGGATAGAAATATGTGGTTAAACCTGTACGATACTTCTACCCATAATTAATTATTTCAAACCGACAGATTACCACAAGTGGCCTACTTCTTTTATATCAGCTATGATAAGAATTTGCCTCAATTAATAAGCCAGTAAAGAATTGATGATCTTCTTCTAAAATCGGTCAAAGATGGATAAAGATCATTAAAAATGACCAATGAACCCCGACTTGAAATACTGTTGAAATCAATTAGATAACTTGATTTCAATTTGCAACAATTTGTCTTGCGCTCAGAAATAATGTGTGAGTCATTAGGACAGAATATAAAATGAAAACAAGTTAGATGGGGTTATCTATATGAGTAAAAAATATTTTTATCTATATTTTATTATGAAAAATCTCCCATGACGCATGCTGTGACCTCTTTTTTTTTTTATTTTATTCAAATACAATAATTTGTATACATTTTTTGTACAAGTACAGATCCGTTTGAATTTTCTGCCAGCTTCAATTTCAATGCTTGCCTAATCCCACGAAAGCCAACTTCGAGTTGTTCCATTTTTCGAAGATATAATTAATTTATTTTCAATATCAAGTCAATTTATCAGTTGACTTGACAAATACAATAACAATAACAAATTAGTCTCTGCCAGCCCGCTGTGATTCTCTCTTTTTCCCCGTGTTTCCCCGAATAATTCAGAGAATCTCTCAGTTTCTCTCTATTTCTCTCAATTTCTGAGGGGATAGCACAGTTTTGTTGCCAACTGTTATACGGCCAAACAGATTTTCAAATGCCAGGCCAGCCCGCAATTAAACGAAACTAGTTTTGCTCGTTAGATGGAGAGAGCAGAGAGTAAGCCAGTTCGTCAGCTGTTTGGCTAGCCAACTAACTTGGCCAGCAAATGCAGTCAAGAGAGAGCCGTATTTTCAGTCTGCCGGCGCACCGCGTTGTGTGCACTTCGCTCAATAGTTTTTTATCCGCCGATCGGTTGCCGTTCGTCTGTGGCTAAGGTGCGCGATCCTCCCGCTATCCCCTCTAGATCCAGATCCCCTATCCAAATTATATTTGTGCAACTATCTAGCATTTGAACAGCTGTGTGTGGGCGCTCTAGTGAAAACTGTGCCGGCAAAAAAAGTGCAAAAATAAATAAAACCCGCATTGAAATTACCTATTTGCTTAATTCGTTGACGCCATGCCATTTTTTCATCACGAAAACTGAAACAGAAATTAGATGTTTGAGCGATTACGCAATGCTTGAACTATTTACAGCGTTTTGCGAATTTTTTTAGCTCTTTTTTTTGCTTTTTTCCGGTCAATTATATTTTTGCGAATTTTTTTTTCTCGCACAAATGAGCAAATAATCTAGTGTATTTAGTGCTTTGACACAGTTTTAGGGGCTATCACGCGGCCAATCGGCCACGTCTGAGTTGTTTTCTGGCCCAGCCTTTGGTCAGGTGCAAAGTGCAGCGAAACGAAAGACTTAGGCAACAAACTTTCGCCCACCGCTAACCAAAAAAATAAATAGCAGTTGGTAGAGCAATAAAAAACTGCTGTAAATAGCCATAAACACTTACATCACAGCAACCTGTTGCATGTCGCAGTTGCAGTGGCACACTTTTTTGAAAAGCAACCATAATAATAATCAAAACAACAACATCGCCGCGACGAGTTGCATTTAATTAATCACAAAATGAGCTTCGCTTTTCGAGCTTTTTTCTTTAAAGTTTATGAATGAGCTAGTGAGTGAGTGAATGACTTATGAATAAGCCCACGTTATGAATGTGGGAGCCCCTGGGCCTGGTTGCCCTTGGTCCAACAGCTTCGTCTGCAACTTTTGTCATCCCGCTCGCAGGTTCGGCAAACAACATAAATTATCAAGTTGCTGCTTCTGTTGCTCCTCTGTGGCTGCGTTGCTGCGTTGCTCTGGTGGCTGAACCATATAAAAATATGACTTATTAATAAAAACAGACAACAACAGCAACTTAATAAAGCCACAACCAACAGCCGGGCCTCCTGGCGCCTCGAAAAGCGGTCCCTAGATCGCCCATCGCCCGACTGCATCATAAATACTGATGTTTTGTTGGTTTTCCATTAAATGTGTTAAATATGCCAAGTGTAGACGACGCGTGTGGCTTTTTCGCTGCCCAGTTGCTTTTGCTGCATGAAATTAGCCGCACTTGTTGCAGCTGTTGCGGCATTGCTTGTTTTAGCAATTCAGGAATGCACATCGAATGGACGACTGAACGGGTAACCCAACTTCAACGCCAAGTTTGTTTAGGCTGGGAAGAAAAATAGGAGAAATACATGTATTTTCGAGTTGCACTCGGAATTTACCTTCAGTTGAGTGGCGATCATAAAGTGCCTGTTTGGACAAGGGACTTTACTCATCTCTAAATGGGTGTAATTAGCATACTAAGCATTCAAGGCAAACACAACAGTTTTTCTAGTGCCTGTTGACTTACAGCATTTAATTTACATTTCTATTTACCAACTAAAAGTTGTCTTTATAACTTCCTAAAACCAATTTAAAGATAATGGAAAACTAAAAAATGCAATACTTGTTTCCCAGGTCATAAAAAGTACTCTTACAGATCATAAACTGCTGAGATATAAGACTAAATACTTATTTTATTATTTTTGGAGTACACATTCCAGTTTATGTTTTTCCACCTTACCTTTTCCCATCCATCAATTACAGTATTTCGGGGCTATATTCACATGATATCTCAGAGTTTTATGTTCTGACAGTTATTCGTTTTTGCCAAAAATCGACTTTTAACCATAAAGTTTTTAGTGCACTTAGAGCTTCGACTCGTGTTTTTTTCAAAATAAAAAACGCCCGCAATTTGCAACTTCAGTCGTGGCGGTCCACAGATCTCATCCTCTTTTCTCGTTGAGATTTTTTTGTTTGCGGTTGCCATTCCCAACATGTGCATTTTTAATTATGCTTGTTAATTTCGCTGTTTTTTTTTTAGTACCTCATCTTTTCTTTTTTCTTGCTCTTAACCCATCTTAGTATGTGGCACACGTTTTGCGTTTATGTTTCTTCATACTCCATTTGCTGTATGAAATAATTGCGGGGCGTAGAAATTAATGTGCAAGCAAGGCGTTTCCAAAAGGTAATGTTGGTAAACAACGAAAAAAAACATGGTTACCGTAAGATGAGAGGAGTTCTCCTTATGTTCTTCCTATTACATGCGGAAATTACTTCATTGCAATAAAGATTCCTGGTCGATAAGGACCTCATTTCGGTGGTATAAGGCAAGGTCAGCTGTTTCAGCAATTTTGGGGCGAGTTCGTTGCCTAAGTCTTTCGTTTTGGGGGGAAACGCTTAAATACCAAAGTTTAAGCTGGTTAATTAGCATAAGCAGGCCAGCCAAGCAGATCGAGTGAGTCAAGCACTATAAAGCCTATATGCAGGGTCGGTTAAGCACTCCCACATATATTCCATTCAGTTCCGTGGCGAGCGAAAGTTCACAAAACTCTTGAAACTCATGAAACAAAATGTGTAAAATGAATTAACAATTTAAATGTTTTAAGAAAAGAGACGCCCACATGGGGGTGTGTGTGTGTGTGAGTGTGTGTGGGTGTGGTGGGCGTGTAATGTGCGCCCGACACCAAAACAGTTAAATGTGGAAATACAAGAAATTCAAGTGAATATCAAGCGCAGAAATTACGTCAATCAAAAGTCAAAGCACAACTGGCAACTTGGAAGCCACAAAATCGTATAGGTTATACCTACCTATACATATAATACATTTTTTCAATCTTTTTTTCTGCAAAGGCGTCTTGGTTATACAAAAAAAGAGAGAGAAAAAATATTATTGCCGAGCGGTCCAAGCCAAAAATGGACCAGCAGAGCGGCGACTTTTGCCGAGCAAAGTGTGGGCAGCAGCAAAGTTGCCTAACAGCCACTCGCACTCACACAAAAAAATCCCGACTCACACACACACTCTCTTGGCTTTTGAGACCAGGTAACTCTTGGTATTACAGGTAACCACTGGGGCTCGCGATCGGCGGCTCAAGCTCCGCACATTCAGTTCGTTTTCAGCGCGCGTGCGGTGCGGTTCTCTGCCAAGTGGGCTTCTCTTCTTCTGTGTTAAGTGTTAAGTTAGCAGCTCCACCACTGGATAATATCTAATTGATCGGAGATCGTTGCCTTATTTGAATAGGGGAATCTAACAGCCACCGTCTAATTACAGTGAAAGTTGCCGGGCATTTTACCCTGTGAAAATTCCGAAAAACCAAACGCGCGCAAAGCAATCAAAAGTGTTCAAAGGAAAAGCGTTAAATATTGTTAAGCTCAACAATAAAATACGTTAGAAAATCCAAAAAATATTCCAGTGTCTGTGTAGCGCAGTGGCCGCGTGTGTGTGTGTGTCTTTCTGCGCTTTTGACGGCAAATCGCTTTTGGCAGCTGCTTTGGCAGCAGCCAAGTAAGAAACAAGGCTTTTTTCGCTGGCGTCGCTCTTCGTTGGCAGCTGTTGGCAGTATGAACTGATTTTGGCCGCAAGTTGATGAATAAAATGGTGAGCACTTTTTTTTCCACTTCTACAAAGTGCAAATTTTAAGTGGTATATAAAACATTTTTATTATAATACAAATTAAATGGAATATTCCCCTCAAAAGGGGGAGAAGAAAAGTGCTAGTCGCAGACGATAGCTAAATCATTTTACAAATGGCAAAGGCCAAGAATAATTTTGTAAAAAAATTAAATTGGTCAAAAATTATTATTATTATTATTATTAGAAAGAGACAGCTATAAAATAGAGTAAATTTACCTAAATAAATCAAAATAATATTCGAGATTTTACGAAGATCTTTTAATTATCTAAAGTGCTTTTGGTTGAAAAATATTATATCTTTTTAAGACGCTAGACAAAAATTAAAAATTAAAAATTAATTTCTTTTAACTAAAAGTTTCCCCATTTTAATTCTTTTGGCATTTTCTTTTAAGACCTCTGAAATCAGTGAGCATAAAAACCGTTGGCATATAAAATTTACATGACAAATTTCCGTTTTTTTCCACTCAAGTGCAGACATAAGCGCAAAATACCAACTGTAAATGTGGCAAAAACTACAAAAAATAATAATAACAAACAGCACCGACATAAAGAAACGTTCACTTTCGTTGGTGCAAAAATCCCAGGCCAAAGTCATTGTGAGATCTGATGAGTCGGTTGGCGAAGATGATGATGATGGATACGCAGATGGAAACGGGTCCGAAGACGCCTTGTCACTGGCTCTTTGGTCAGGGCCTCGTCGCTAATGCTGTTTATTTTCTCTGCATCTCATTTCGGAAATAACGAAACCGAAACGCAAATAGAAAATATGACAAATAATTGCTTCAAATACTCGCTTGACACACTTTTTTTCCTAAGCTCAAAGAAAGAGTTTGTCAAGCAATCACAAGTGTTTCCAAAAAAAAACCGGGGTCAAAAAACATCTTTCTGTGGGGGATTTGGCAAGAGGATTTGGCGAAATTTGTGGGTTTATTGATGAAGAGATGGGAGATCTCCGACTGTATCTGTTTTTTTTGGTCAGATGCAAAACACAAGTGAAGCTACCGGCGCCGTCTCATTTGTCAGCCAGTTTCGGTTTGAACTAGCTGGCAGTCATTTGTAAGCCATTGTCTTTCATCTCGTCGTGGGTTGTGGTATTTGGTTCGAGTTGTTTTTCCCCAACACCGTTCAGTTCGTGGCTCATCTTATCCCATCTCACCGACCGACTGACTGACTATTTTTCTTTTTTTTTGTTTTGTTTAGCTGTTTATGCTGATGCGTTTGTCTGAGCGGCAAAAGGTGCAAAACTTTCACTTTATGTATTATTGTTTTGCGTGCGAGCCGCTGCTGCGTTTGTCTGCCGGGAGAAATTACAATAATAATGCCTATAAATTATGAGCCAAAGCGCTTGACTCAGTCTGCGTGGGCGAAAGAAATTGCCGCAATTAAATGAGTCAAGGGACCCAGCAGAAACTTATGAAAAAAAGTGAATGCCTCACTTGGCGATTCTTCTGCAAAGATAAATGGTGTAAGATATAAAGCGACATATCTTTCCCCCTTTTTATTTTGCACAAGAGAAATTTCAATTATTTTTATGGCAAAATCCATGAGCCAAATCAAAAGACTTGAGACACAAACTTCATATCTTTTCGTTTCTCAAAATCCATGAGCCAAATCGAAAGACTTCAGTCACGAACTAGATATTATTTTTCATTTTTAAAAATCCAAGAAGCAAGTAAAAATTAAATTCTTGCTTTATTTTAAAATTATTTAAATCAAACAACTTGGAAACAAAACTTGTTCCTGTTGATAATGAGATTGGCCAACTATTATTTCTAAAAGCTGTCACTGATTAATTGCTTGCCGCAAACAAAAGACTGCAGACACAAACTTGACGTTTGCGAACGAAACCTTTATTGAATGCAAATAAAACGCAGGTTTTATTATTGCCTAATGGCTGGTGAAACTCGTGGGAAAGAGTTTTAGCTACTTTCGTTGAACGTCGAAATCCCGAGATTGATTCCAACGATTTTGCTGGTAATTCGTAAGTCATCAGCCTGCAGACAGATTTATTATGGGCAAATTCCGAAGACTGGTCGCGATTTGGATGCTCTTTTGGAGCTGATAGACAGTGACTCAGTTGACTAGTTTGCGGCACCCCACACAGTCTGTTGAACCGCCGCTCAAGGTCTTTTCCCAGCCACCAACGGCGGCTCAAGCCGCGACTCAAAGCCACAAAATTCTAATTAATTTCTCGCTTTGCTCGCGAATCTTTTTGCATTGATCTGTTCTGAACAGAATCCATAAAGAGCCATACTGTGTGGGCACAACATACAAATGAAGACGAAACCGAGCAGACCGAAAGCGGAGCAATCGGTGCGTCAGTGCCAACCTGTGCCCGTCGTCTAACATCATTAGTTTCGGAGGCCGTTGGAGGCCATATTTCTTCTGTGTTTTCTGTGTGATTTTAAGGCCTCGTGGGCGATCGACCCACGCTCCATGACACAATCGATCCGCCAAGGCCCGACCATGTGGTCCACGGATCTCGAAATCCATGCACTTGCTATGCGTTATGCGTTTTCGATTTCCATTTCCATTCCGTGATGGGCAACCCACTTTCACCAGAACTTGGTTTCGTTTTCATTGCCATATACGAACGTACTTCTTCGGGATGACCCAAAAAAAAGTGAAGCATCTCTGTCCAAAAAAAAGTCTGAAAGCCCAAAAGGAAATAAGAAATACTTCGAGAAATAAAGCGAAAGTAAAACAGCGACCAGTTTTTTGGATTGTGTGTTGTATTTTTTTGTGGCTGCAGGGCTGCTGCAGCTAAAAGAGCGGTTCGAACTCCGATTCGCAGTAACTCAAAATGATGTCATGCTGCGAGTCGAAGTTGCCAAAATAAAAAAACCCAGCCAGACTTTTGGTTTTTTTTTTTTTGCTCCTTGGCTTTTTGGTGGACCCAAATTTCGGCTGTATCTGTATCAATAAAATGGCTTCGTCTCGTGCAACAAATGCAAAAGTAACCGGACGACTGGGGCCCAGCCCAGTTAAGTTCACATTCAGTTCAACTTTCAGCTTCCACGCCAACACTGCACTACACAGTTGTTGTTGTTGACTTTTTGTCGTCGTGGTTTATGCCGCTCAAGACCCTGATCGCTGCATATAACTAGCTGTAATGCCGTTTATTTATTTCATTTTAAAAATCCCTGTCAACGGCACAGCTTCGCTAGCAGTTGCAGTTGCCTTATTGCCTTAGCCTCGAGTTAAGCCTTTAAATTTATGACTCATATTAGTTGCAGCCACCGCCGACGACGACGACGAAATCGCGAACGAAAAAAACCAACACGGAAACTTTTTAAACTGCAATTTGCAACAATTTTTGCCGCAACTGTAAAGCGGACTTAGCCAAAAAACGAAAAATTCAGGCATCAATAAGGCGAGGTTGCTGGGGCGCAGCGAAGTTTTATTACACTCACCAAAAACATAGGAAATATAGGAAATAGAGCTGGAACATTATCGATATTTTCGATATTTTGAAAAAATTGATTCGATAAAATTGATAAAATAGATTTACTTAAGGGAAAACAGAAATTAAATATCGAGGAATAGAAGCTCTATTACTAGCTCTCATATGAAAAGCTCAGTTAAATCGAAAAAAAATAACTAAGAAAAATTCTAAATAAGAATAGAAACCAGCAATTGAATACTTTATGATAATACCCACCAGCATTTCTCGAAATAAATAAAGTTACAATTTAATTTGGCCATAAAAGACGAGTGTTACCTCATGGCCTGGACCAAAAGTGGCTAAAAACAATTACACAGACTTTAGAAAGTCTCAAATTTCAAAAATATTCTTTCACCTATTAGCCGACTCCACAGGCAAATAGAGTATTCAGAACGCCTGGATGCAAAATAACAAAGGCATCGGCTTGATCTCAAGTTGTGCGGCCAATTAACGGAATGTCTGCTCCGATATCGCTACCGTAATTTAACTTTCAAATGCAGCCCGCAAGAGCAGTTAAAACGGGAAACCCGTTGCAGGCAGGCAAACTACTCCTATGTGCAAATATATATATAGGTATATTCCCATATCAGGGCACTTTAAGTCGCCAGGAGTGGGAGCTACTTGGTCTCTAGTCTTTTGTTTTTTCGCCCAGTGACAGCTGGGCTATCGGGCTGGCTAATAACTTCATTTAAATTAATCTGGTAACAGGAGGCAGAAAGTGGAAGGAGAGCAACAATTTAAAATTCAATTACCGCCGCATTTGAAGTTGCCACCGCAGGCGAGCACAAGGCCATAAACATTTCCCTGTCGCCACCAGTGGCAGAAGAAGAAGTAGAAGAAGTGGCATGGTTGTGGATGAAGTGACTCTGTGCCGCACATTGATGCATCCTGTCATTGTCATAGTGCCAGCTCATATCCTGTGGATAGCCACTGGCCGTAAATTGCACAAACCGCACATGCTAATCAACATGGGCAACCGCAATTATTAAATTACATTTGCGTGGCCTAATCGAATTGGCAAGGGGTCTCTCAAGTCTCTATATCGTATATATTGAGACTGGTGTTGCCTGGTAAATGATATGATATGGTCAACAGTAGTAGCTAGTAAGCTAATTTGCCTTGACAGTCGCTTCTCGTCCGCTAAAAGGGGCGGAACTATCGGTATTTGATTCGTCTCCGGAACGAGGAGGCTGGATGATTGTCGGTGCGCAAAGGAAGTATTAACCAAGTGTGGACAATGTGATGGCACCAAGGAAAGAAATAGCAATTTCGCTTGGCTAACTGACTTCTACACCCAAACAAAACAATTGATATGAAACGATGGTCAATTTGATATTATGTGGTATCAAATAAAATAAAAACTTATTTATTTCGGCTTGATATGCTGCATATCAATTCAATATGATTCTCTAAAAATGTACTATATTTCTTCTATGTAATTAGAAGCTACAAAATGTAAGAAGGTGCCATCCCGGATATATCGGCACTCCCCGACACTCTCTCGGCAATTTCACCATCA